AGCTCCCCTCCCCTCCCCGCCCCGCAAGCTGCTTTGAGTTGCCAGCAGTTTCCCCGAGGCGATGTGCTGGGTTGGACGCTCCGGGAAACAAAGCAACCAAAACAGCTCCGGTTGACGTCAACTTCTGTTCAGAAAAGAAAATAGTTTTGTGCTCCCAGGACAAAATACCCCCCAGGGCAGGTCTCCGCTGGAAAAAGCCAGAGGGTGGGGGTGGAGACTAGCAGAACCAAAACACACACACACACACACACACACACACACACACACACTCACACACACCCCAAAACAAAAAACCTCCAAGTGCAAGACACTTTTTAACGGACTTGCAAAAACAGCCTTTTCAGATGCTGCCTGGACAGTTTGCAAACCACCGGCAGGCCTCCCGCCGGCATCACGGACCAAGGACGCACCTTGGAGAGCGCGCCGGGCCCTGGTCCGACCGAGGCTGAGTCGGCTCCTGGCGCCAGTCCTTGACCCGCTTCCAAAATCCTCTGCCATCACATGTTGGAAAACACCTCTTGAGGTTAGTATTTACCGGGAAGAACCAGAAAAACCGAGCGGCTGTAAACCTACCACTGACTCCTCTACCGCTGTCTGTCCCCTGTCCCCCCAAAGCTGCTTACTTTAAAAAACCCAATAATACAAAGTTACAGGGGAGCTCATAAAGGAGGTTTAATAAATGACCCCTCAATAGCATCCGGTGCTTCCACACACGCAATTCCAACCTGAGACACTGAGAAAAGCTTTCTCCTGCTTATTTTGGGAGAGAGGCGATCCTCGCTGGCTTCTGCCCTCAGCCCAGCCCTGCCTTCGATTCTCCCCATCCTGAAGTCCATCCAGCCCGCCCTCACCACGCTCAGGAAGCTTGCTGTATTTCCTGCACAGAGCGCATACCTTCTTTATCGAAAAGTGATTCCATGCCCTGGCCCATTTGGCTCAGTGGACAGAGCGTCGGCCTGCGGACTGAAGGGTCCCAGGTTCGATTCCGGTCAAGGGCATGTACCTTGGTTTCGGGCACATCCCCAGTGGGGGTTGTGCAGGAGGCAGCTGATTGATGTTTCTCTCTCATCAATGTTTCTGACTCTCTTTCCCTCTCCTTTCCTCTCTGTAAAAAATCGGTGAAATATATTTTTTAAAAAAATGATTCCAGTGCTGCGCGGAACGTTGGTTGCGATTATTTGACTGTCCGAGAACTCTTTACTAGAATCTGCACTAAGATGTGCACAACTCCAACACGATGCGCCCTATCTTTGGTCCCTGTGATCACATTATAAAGGACCACCCGTGTATGAGTGCTTCTCCATTTCTTAGATTACTGGAAGGTCGTGACATGATTGTTCCAGAAGGAAACCCTGCAAATGTTTCCCCCTCATTTATAACCACCCACTCCCATTTCCAGGTCACGCTTATGGGAAGGTTACGGTTATCAGAAACATACTCAGCTCTTCCTCCTCTCGGCTTCCAGTCTTCTGAGCATCATCTGTTAGATAACTGACATAGTTATCCTTTATCTGCCTGGTTCCTCTGCTAAACCAATATGCCTTCGTGGGTTAGGCTAGTGCCTGGGACCTGCGGAGCCCCCCCCCCCCCCGTCATTTCCCTGAAAGGAAGGAATGAACAGCTTCTGTGCTTTAGGGAAATCCTATCTTTGGCAAGAAACTTCTTGGTGAAAAATCTAAAATAATATGGATCTGAATGTCTACATTTAAAAATCAGGACAGTCCAGCTGGTGTGGCTCAGTGGTTGAGCATCAACCTATGAACCAGGAGGTCACAGTTCAATTCCCAGTCAAGGCACATGCCCGGGTTGTGGGCTCCATCCCCAGTGTGGGGCGTGCAGGAGGCAGCTGATTAATGATTCTCTCTCATCATTGATGTTTCTCTCTCTCTCTCTCTCTCTCTCTCTCTCCCCGTTCCTCTCTGAAATCGAGAAAAATATATTTTAAAAAATGAGGACAAAAGTAACTACAAGGCAACATTATTGTTTGCAAGTTAAAAAGAATGTAATGACTGTTTTGGTTTACTGTTTCCTTACCAGGAATTCCCTCTCTTGTAGGACACACTAGAGCAGCGGTTCTCAACCTGTGGGTCGCGACCCCTTTGGGGCTCGAACGACCCTTTCACAGGGGTCGCCTAAGACCATCGGAAAACACATATATAATTACATATTGTTTTTGTGATTAATCACTATGCTTTAATTATGTTCAATTTGTAACAATGAAATTGGGGGTCACCACAACATGAGGAACTGTATTAAAGGGTCGTGGCATCAGGAAGGTTGAGAACCACTGCGCGAGAGGAAGTGACTACAGAAGTGAGTGAGGAATCGAAGAAGAAGGCATTCATGTATTAAGACAAGGGGGTTGGGGAGGATTTAAACTGATAAATTCAAGGAATTATATGGGCTCCTGGGGGCAGAGGCCAGAAACACCTTTGGTTTGTCACTTTAAGTCATTTCTTAGTTCATCACTTGTTTCTACCTCACCCCTCCCAGGCCAGGCTTTCTTGATTTAATCACTAAAAGACTCATCAAGTATTTGGGAGCTTAAATATGACTTCAGGCTGAAGCTAGTTTGACACGTCTTGGTTTCAGAGTTTCACTACTGAATTCCTTGGACTTCCATTGAAGACCGTCTTGAGCAATGTTTTTCTGAACTCGGATGAAAACAGAACCCGTGCCATGCAACTCTACAAAGTGGAAGAAGAAAATTTCAGAAGAGCAAGGTCTATGTCTTATCGGTCACGGCGGGCCTGATTCCCTGCCAGCAGAGTTCCCGAGCATGTGGCTGGCACACGGTGGACGCCCGGTAAACGTACACATATGCCATATGCATGTGTGGAGAGAGTTAACCCCCACGGAAGGGGATGCAGCCAAGTGGTTCAAAACTTCATCTTTGAAACCAGTCTGCCCGGGTTTGACGCCTGGTTTGGCTTTACCAGGGGCCCTCTTTCGTGTCTCAGTTCTCCCACTTTATTATCTGGATGATGATAATAATAGCCCCTCCATCCTAGGGTTGTTGTGAGAGTTGAATGGGTTAATATTAGTGAAGGAGGCAATCCAGTGCCTGGAGCATTAGCAAACATCCAACGGTTAGCTCTTGCTCTGAAGGCTTGGTGATAAACAAAACACCAAGGCCAGGAGCCTCCCAGAGGGTGAGCGGCTCGGCCAGGTCTCCCAGAGCCCAGGTTGCCCAGACCTCACTGGGCAGGAGAGTGAGGCCCACAGCCCAGGCTTGAGTCACTGGACCACACTGAGCTTCTAGGAACCAGAGAATGAAACTGAAGGAAGGAAGGAAGGAAGGAAGGAAGGAAGGAAGGAAGGAAGGAAGGAAGGAAGGAAGGAGTCTTCAAGGGAACAACTTCCTTAAAATACGTGTGTCATCTGACTTGGGAATCTTTGAGAGTTGGCATCATCTTGGACCGAGGCTTGGGGCCCTGAGCACAGCGGGCCTGGCCCAAGAGGCAGCTCACCTTTGCCACTTGGCACCTAACGCACTGGGACTGTTTTCTTGGGCTGTTGGGCGTAGGGACCCACTTGTGTCTTGGGAGAATGACAGGAAAAGTTCAGAGCAGGGGTGAGGAATGTCCGGCCCGCGGGCTGCTGCATAAGGCCTGAGAAATCATTTGGTCTGGCCCTGTCAAGACTAATTAAATGTTTGACCAGATAGAGCAGGCTAATGTTTAAGTTGATCATTCTGTATGGCCCTCAAGTGATGTTATCAAGATCCAAATGGCCCTTGGCAGGAAAAAGGTTCCCCACCCCTGGTTTAGAGGCAAAGGAATGCCCACAAACCCACCAGACTAGAAGGAGAGGTTTCCTGCTGAACCCCCGGGCTGTCCCAGCTACATCTCCCGGGAGGGAGCGAGGAGAGAGTTGCCTGTTTTTATCTGTGATGCTTTGTCAAAAAGCAGGTCAGCTTGAACTTAACACAAGGATTGACAGGAGAGGAGTTTTTAGTTTCTGGTTGCTACCTGGTAACTATAATTATCTTTTCACCCACCGCCAGTCTCCTAGATGTTTTTAAAGCAAGTAGTCTGAGGGGAACGTAGTTCTCCAGAAGGCCATTGTGTTCTTGTGGAGCCTAAGATATTCTGCTGTCATCGTATTCTGATAACAAAACTTCATCTGCTCAATAAAGAAGTCCAGGGTGAGGGCTGTCAACGTTCAAGTAAAATTAATATAGTTTCTTTACCTTCGTAACATATCTTTAAAGGGTGTGTAGGACTGAAGTGGATGTTAGTCCTATTATTCAATGACCTTTATTTCAGTGTCACTGCAATACTAATTAAGGTGGAAACGGAGATATGTGTTAATGTCTTGTAACAAATACATGTATTTTAAATAATGGAGGAGCCATGAAAGCGTTCATATTCTAGGGCCCAGAAATTGCCTCTGGGAATTCATCTTCTTAAGAAATACCGAGTTCTATTTGCATTTTGGTCAAGTTGGGCTCATTGCACAGAGACAACTTGGGCAGGTGGGTTTCAGTGTGTGTGCAGTGTGCTCCGCAGCCGCCTGTCCCGATGGCGGAGACCTGCCTCTGCTCACAGGCGTTAGAGAGCTCGCGGTCGCTGGGTGAAGCGAGGGAGACGCAGGGAGGCCTGTGCTGTATCGGGCCAGGCGCCTTGGAGGGCGATCCATCCGTATGACGGTGGAGACAAAGGATGTGAAGGAAAAGGGCAAAGCAGGATCCGCTCAAAGCTCCTATGGCCACGCCTTCGTGACTTTGAGAACGTTCAGGACCAGATTTGGAAGCTCTGGATGTCGGAACTGAGTACCTGGGAATCTGGTGGCAATTCAGGGATGTGCTGAGGAGCGGGTCTAGGCCTGCCCCGTGGCTATGTTTCTAAATGAACTAAAAAAGAAAAAAAAAATCCCCTTTTAAATACCCAGAAGCACTAACCCACATTTTGAACTAATTGACTTGCTTTTTCTTAGGAAAGCTTAATTTAGCCGTGAGGGGCGCATCTGAATATTTAAAGACGCCCTGGATGGGTTTGTTCTATTTCTTTACTTTGATGCTGGAGACCCAGGCTTGGCACCGGACAGGGGAGGACAGCCCTGGAGAGGGGCGGGGGCAGGGCACACAGCGACCTAACCCCTCTGCTTTGGG